TTCCTGACTGAACCCAGCACACTGGCTTAGACCTCCCAGTAAAATACCTGGATTCCCAGCACTGCCCAGCACAGACAGTGTGCCTGTCACACTTGACCATCCCTGTGTCTTCACAGGCCACCCAACTCCTTCCTGGTGGCACGGCACAGCCCTACCTCTCTCGTCACCTGACTCACAGGTACCCCCGCTGTGCCAGAACAGTTTCAGGGTAGGTGGGAAGCACAGCGCCATGAGTGAGCCTGCATCCAAACCCCTACAGCTACCACCTTTGCTGCATAGGCCAAGGTACGATGAATTGTCTTGGAATGCCACCTTGGAAGCTCACCTCTACTGAGATGAGCTCATTAAAAGGCCAGTAACCAAAACCAGTCCCCATACCGCAAACACCAGAACTGGTCTTTCTGAAATATGCAGAGATTATTTGTCTGACCTCATCAGCTGGCTGGAGAGCTTGGCTTAGGACTCATGTCCCATCAAGAAACAGAATTTGAATTAATGGGACATAACGGTTGAAGATCAACATGCCTTGCTAAGTGCTTTCCCCTGATTCTAAGTAGCTTCTGTTTTCAAGAGAAAAGGAGAAAAACAAAATCACAGCAAACAACCCTGGGCTGACACCCCAAGTTCAGTAAGTTACATTCTTACTGCTTTACAGACCAACAAATAAATGACCCTGAAGTTGAACCCCAAAAGCCCCATTCACTCCTGATCCTGCAAGAAGCCTTGCTCCCCCCCACCGCAGAGACATCTGGCAGAGCAGGGGTTCACATTACGACTCCTGCTTGGGGAGCAGCCACCCCAACAGGCACCTTCCCTCCCTCCACCTCACTCCTACATGTCCCTCTTTGCCTCCCTGCCTGGGCCCTACGGCTGTGTGGCCCAAGGGTGTGCAAGACTGGCTGCTGGAACAAAAGTAAAAACAAAAAGATTTTTAAAAAATCCAAAAGGTTTTGTAGTTTTGGGGTTGTTTGGGGTTTTTTTTTGTACCACTGGTCTTCTGCCAGGTCAACCAGCTGAATCAGCTTTACCCTGCAGCTGTAGATGTGACACAAGTGACAGGAGCTGCCTGGGGACCCAGAGGCCACTTCCACCTGCAGCAGCCTCCTATCAGCTCTAAGGGAAGCTGCACCTCTATCCTGCGGCTCCACAAACCCCAAGCTGGGGTTTCCCCTAGTGAAGGGGAAAGCCCTGCCTCCTTCCTCCTAGAAACACTGCCGAGGCTCCTTCCAGGGAACTGATCCAGGGATTTTATGCCCAGTTGAAGTCATCACAGTTCTGGTGAAGGCAGGTGCCAGAAGGGACGCAGGAAGAGGTCGGCTGAGCTTGAAGTGCTCATGAAACCGGAGCATAAATGAAGAATTTAAGAACCTTCCAAAGAGTTAAATGTTGCCGCTGCCCACTGAGGACAGAATAACAAAACCAAACAAGCAGGGGGAACCACTGGAAACTCACTTGTTGAAGAAAGCATGGTCCATTGCAAATTAAGATGAGACAGGCAGAGCGACCCTGTCTTAAAAAGCAGCTAATAGTGGTCACTTTTAAGTGCCGATGTTCTGAAATCGGCCACTAAAGAGACAAAACTATAAAAAGGTGCAGAGAAGCAGTGGAGAATAAAATTATACTTTTGTCATGTGTAGGTTCACTGATGTTAATGTTCTTACATCACAGATTAATGTAAGCCAGAAGGCTTATTAGTTATACTCAGTCCTTTCCGCTGGAAATTCTCATTGGAACATCCCTGTAATGTTTAACAAGGATGGGTGCAATGGTTCTGTTGTCCCTGTGCACCAGGTCTGGTGAGGATAGGGTTAATTTCCTTCCTAGCAGCTCCTGCGGTGCTGTGGTTTCGATGTGTGACCGAAACAGTACTTGCAGCACGCTACCGCTCAAGCTTTGCTGAGCAGCGTTTGCGCAGCGCCAGAGCCGCCACCGTTTCTCACCCTGCTGGGTCCCGCTGCCCGTGCAGAGATCAGGGGGTGCGCACAGGCCGGGAGGTGGCACACCCCCACTGACCAAAGAGATGCTCCGTACCACGTGATGTCACGCTCAGCAAAGAGGGGGCCAGGGGGCTCAGATCCTGAGCCAGCTTTTGCTCAGGAACTGGCTGGGCATCAGTCTGCCCACCGGAGGTGGGGAGTGATGGCCTTTACAGCACTTGCTTTGTTCTGTTCTCTCCTCCCTTCTTCCATTTACCCCTCGCTTTTAAAAGAATCATTTGTGTTATCCTGACCCTCAAGTTTTCTTGCTTTTATTCTTCATTTCCTCCTCCCCCAGCCACTGGGGTGGGGGGAAGTGAGTGAGCGGCTGTGTGGTGCTTAGCTGCTCACAAGGCTGAAACCACAACACTCTGAATATAAGATGCTATAACAAGAAAACAATATGATAAAATAAGGGAGGACAACAACTCTACAGAAAAAAAATATATCTATTGGGAAACAGAAGAGAAGTAAACCACATAAATTAATCTTTTAAAGAAGAATTTGTTCCTCTAATTAGATTTCTTTGTATGAAAAAAAAAAAAAATTCAGGATTTGAATGTCTTCCAACTGCTCCCATTTGTCTAAGAACTGTGAAATCTTTCATCATGGCCCTGCAAATTGCTATGGATTCTGAGGTGAAGGCGCCCTCTCGTTTGAGTAAACTCCTCTTACTCTCAAGAACAGCACTTCTAGATAAGGAACGGGTAGCACATGTAGGAATTCAGATCCTGGCAGGAAATGCATGTCACTTACTTAACAGTAACTATTGCAGCATCTACGTGAAACCCACGGTATCTTTCAGCAATTGGCCAGACCCAATTAAAGTGAAGCCCATACATACAATTTTGATCAAAATCAACTATTCAAAATATATATAGAGAAAAGGTTTTCTTCAGAGTTTCCTTTAAATAAACAAACAGATTATTTGTAGTTCTCCTGAGTGCAGCTGCCTCAGTTGGATTATATCTCATATTTCCAAACAACTGTAAAAGCTACAATAACTTTGATTTTAATTCTGCTAGAAACTGCTTTTTGGATGACAGCTTACCTTGAACAATGATATCATCATCCAAATATATTACTTTCTCATGTTTCGGGATAAGCAAAGGAAGATAAAATCGAACGAAGTTCAGCTATTAAACAGAAAAAAAGGTAGACTAAGTGGCAAGTGTCTATAACGTAGCGTTCTCATGCTTGTCTCTCATAACAATCAGTTTTAATTTCTCTATTCACTGAGCACGTGCCAGCGATCATTCCCTTCCCCTCCCCCCTCCCCCCCCCAGCTTTACTAGTAACTTTAATCCATTATTATGTATCCCCATTTGATTCACTACAGCCCTGTCCAACCTGCTCTAGAGGAACCTGCTCTGGCAGGGGGTTGGACTAGGTGATCTCCAGAGGCCCCTTCCAACCCCAGCCACTCCGTGATTCTGTGAAACCTTTTCCACATTAGGAATGTCACAGGCTCAGAGAAGGGCAGTAAGAATCAACATTCTGAACAGACACAGATTTTTCCAGTCGTGCTACATCTTTCTCAGATACCAGGACAAAGACTGCACACAGTATTGAGAATGAAGGAAAACTATGGATTTGTATTTTGGCATAATGATATTCTCTATTTTGATGCTTACTCCTTCCTAATAACTTCTAACATCTGATTTGCCTCTTCTGACAGTCAGCAATGCTCTAGATTAGTTGTCAGCCTCTCAATTAACCCTGGATAACAGCAGAATGCATCTAATTCAGCATCATGGAGGCACAAAAAGCACTATTAATTCTTCCCTCTCATAAACTGTGAATACATTCTTAAAGATACAACAGATTCAAATCACCAAGTCCATGGCACCAAATAGTGAGGTCCCAGCAAGGCAGACAAGTTGCAAGGAGCTGGTTACAGTGCACCTGTCCTTCTCGAGTGAGGGCGTAGAGTTTGGACCTGATGTCACCTCTATGGCTTTACATCCCCCACCTCCGCCCGGTAATGGGACAGGGATCTAGGACATTTTCAAGCACCTAATAAGCATTAAAACCCCTGAAAATTTGTTATGCAGTGTTCATTTACTCACAGGTTGCAGTAGTTCAGGACGTGAGGCATCTTGTCTGATTTTTCCTTTTAGCACCATAGGGTTGAATTCCACAACCTTAAATTTTATTTCTTTCAGTTTAGACTTTTCAATCCATCTTCTGGGATAAACAAGAAGTGATAAAAGAAACAGTGAGAGTGAGGCAAGTACTTCCAGTATTAAATTCACAGACTTATCGGAGAAAGAAAAGCTCACTTTATTCTATGTCAAGACAGAATCACTTATGTCTACAGCTACAGCACAGACATTTGTTTCACCTGTTCTTAAACACCCCAACAAAACCAAAAACAACACCCAAAACCCCCAACAAAGCAAATGCCCCACTCCACTGCCAAAACCAGAGCTCCACATGTTGCCTAAACAACCCGTCCTTCTCCATCGCTAGCATTAGCGAGTCCAGAGGAGGCCACAAAGATGCTCCGAGGGCTGGAGCACCTCTGCTATGGGGACAGGCTGAGAGAGCTGGGCCTGTTCAGCCTGGAGAAGAGAAGGCTCTGGGGAGACCTTACAGCCCCTTCCAGTGCCTGAAGGGGCTACAAGGAAGCTGGAGGGGACTTTTTACAAGGGCTTGTAGTGACAGGACAAGGGGTAACGTGTTTAAATTGAAAGTGGGGAGATTTAGATTGGAAGAAGAAGATCTTCCTGGAGAGGGTGGTGAGGCACTGGAACAGGTTGCCCAGAGAAGCTGTGGATGCCCCCTTCCTGGAAGTGTTCAAGGCCAGGCTGGATGAGGCTTTGAGCAACCTGGTCTAGTGGAAGGGGTCCTTGCCCATGGCAGGGGCGTTAGAACTAGATGGTCTGTAAGGTCCCTTCCAACCCAAACCGTTCTGTGATTCCATGATTACATCCTATTTTTCTAGGCTTTCTTGCTACAGTTGAAGACCCTTTTTTCTTATCCCACCTCCTGTGCTTTTAAAGCAGAGGTTCGTTTTCTCCCTTTTACAGCTCTGCATCCTCCAAGACGACTGCCACATCACCTCCTAACAATCTTTTCTTCAGACTATTTTTTTTTTCATTTTGTCAGATTTCTTCTTTTATCCTCTGATCTGTCTTCAAAATCCTTCCTGAAGGCACCTAAAACAACTCCACACTTTTTCTCAGGTGTCAATAACGCCTGCAAGATCAGAAAAGGTTCTCTCACATCTGCTGTGGTCATATATGCCAACATGTATATCCACTAGGATGCACGCCTTTATCCTTTTTTTTTGAATTGGTGTGGTCAGTTATCATTCATACTTCTGTACTTTGCCAAATGACTACTACCAAACTCCTCCGTCACCCGGAGCCAGTGCAATGGTGCCAGATCTCCCAGCTATTCCCACCTCTATTACGTTGTCATTACTGAATCTCCCCACATTCTGCAGTTCCTTTTCCCAATTCATCATGATTAGTTTGTTTTCGGCTCTTGTCTTCCATATATCTGCTGTCTCTTTTCCAGCTTTATGCCCACTGCAGATTCATACAGTCCTCCAAAGTCTATGCCCATGCTAAGGAGAACAACAACCTGCTCCTACCTACAGGACAGAACAAAGTATGTCTGGGATATACCGAATATGCGGGATCGTAGTCTTCAGCCCAACTATGTAGAACACAACATTGGCCTCCGTGTTGCTGTAGATGCTACTGATTGCTGCTACAGCTGCCCCCATTCTGCCCGCAGCAGCGCAGATTACGACTGGGATTTCTTCTTCTGTTTCCTCAGGATTCTCCAAATCCACTACAAGAAACAAAACTGTGCATTAGAATAGAAAATTCAGAATCTTTTTATATCAGACCTGGGTCATAGGAATGAGGACGTAGTTCCATAAGCAGTGGAATCATATCACAATCACCACATCCTGTACACATCCGCATCCGACAAGGCACAGAGCATGAGCTGCCACTGCTCCAGAACTACATGCATGTTGACTGGACTATGGGATGCCTCCAAACAGAATATATAACAGAGTTCTCGGCATCTTCTACTCAGCAAGGGCACAATTCAGCCTGTCCCCCATGTAGCTGCTTATTCACGTGAAACCTGAAAAAGTTCAAATACCTGTGAGAGTTCTACTTCTCAGTTATGTTTAGTACAAAGTGAACAACAGGTCCCAGAATTATCAAAGGAAAAGGGAAGTCAAAGTGATGGTGCGATTGCACAAGCTTCCCTTCTTTGTGAAGCAGGCTAGAAAGGAAGAGTGCAAAATTTTGTACCAGCAGGAGGTTGCTAATCATAAAAGGAAAAGAAATCTAAACAATACTGAATCAGTTCACATTACTGTTAATGAAGACTTTTATCCCTAGCACTAATTAACTTAGAGAACTTGTATGGATATATTTATACAGATTAAAACATAACCATTCAACTCCTAACAGTTTATTAACACCTGACAACTCCAACACAGCACAAGTAAGAATATACTCCAGCTTCCATCTACATCAGGGACATCTGGATAAAAATTTGAACCAAAATGACAATTCTTAGTCATTGCTATCGATCTCCTACTATTTTATATAAATGAAACAGAAGTACCAGTCATTTACCTGCTTCACCCTTCGGTGCAGACGGCACTTGGTGAACTCTGTTGTACAGAATGGCGCACACAGTTAAGACAAGAAGTAACAGTAAGATCTGGTTAACTGAAACAAAAGGGAGAATTTGTTAACAATCAGTGTAACAGGCTAATTCCCAAGTACCTTTAAAAAAAAACCATAAAACCACTTGGCAGCCAGTACACATCATAACCTGTTTTTGCTGTGTTTATCAAATTCTCCTTTCTCTTGTTATTTGTCAAACTAAAAAATATATGTTAAAAACATAATCTTTACCCAGTTACAATAAGTTCCAACCATCTGTTTTTCATAGATAATTGCTCACTAAATCATTAAGCTCCCAATATATATGGATTATCCACACTAGGAAATTCACATCTTTCTGATTTTTACCAGGAGCCTGGAAGTTTCTTTTCTTGGCTAGTTTTTTGTCTGTTTATCACTACAGGATTTCCTGAGTGAATTCTTTTTCCCTAGCCCTTTCCTCCCCTCACACTTCCCTGGTCAAACTTCAAACACAGAAGAATTTTTTTTTTTTCATTTCAACATTCAGATCTTCAAGGTGTATTTGAGCAAAACTCTAAAAATACTAGAAGAACAGACCCACCATGCTAATGAAACCAGAAATGTTCCAAAATATTTGAAAAACACACGAACATTTTGACATAGTTAATTCAATTACTAAAATCAAACCAAAGCAAGCAACAGTAAAGACCTCACTGTATGTTCTGATTTGCAGTTCCTATCAGAACAAGTTTAAGTTACTCAACATAAACCAGCCACGAGTAGGTGCCAGGACACTTCATGGAGTACATAGAGAATCATAAAATCATAGAATGGTTGGGGTTGGAAGGGACTTAACAGACCATCTATTTCCAACCCCCCTGCCATGGGCAAGGACACCTTCCACTAGACCAGGTTGCTTAAAGCCTCATCCAGCCTGGCCTTGAACACTTCCAGGGATGGGGCATCCACAGCTTCTCTGGGCAACCTGTTCCAGTGCCTCACCACCCTCTCCAGGAAGAACAACTTCCTGATATCTAATCCAAATCTCCCCACTTTCAATTTAAACCCGTTACCCCTTGTCCTGTCACTACAGGCCCTTGTAAAAAGTCCCCTCCCACCTTCCTTGTAGGCCCCTTCAGGTACTGGTACAACAGGGAAGGCAGACATCGCCGTCATCAACAGTGACTTTGATGATGGGAGTTCTTTGTCTGGGACTACTCTGTTAGTTTTGCACCACCATACAAGGTATTTCAGGTGTACAGAAGAGGAAAGGGAACAAAGTTCTGAACTATTTCAATCAAAAGGGTCAACTGGCCAGAACTGGGCATGAGAATAAATTGAAATTGATGAATATACATCACCAAACCTGCGCTGATTTAAACCAGCTGAAGAAACAGCCTGTTGACTTCAGAGAAATTTTGGGTGCATAACTGAAGACACTCACCCGTCCATTTTCAGCCACTGACCCTGACAGCTGAGGAGAGCCCCAAATTTCTTGGGGCCACACCTCAATTGTGAGTATGAACAGCATTAATGTGCCGAGCTCTGTAAAGAAGCCAGGTTCAGTGCTCTAGGCATAACCTACATGAAACCAGCAGCTACCTGCACTCTTAGTGGGAAATTCCAGAACCCCAGTCCCACGCAGTAAAGCAGTGAGTCATTTTAAATCAATGGGATTTAGGCGATACTTATCTAACTTAGTTAAAAGGAAAAGGCTTATTTGTCTACTTAGAGTTATGCATAATTTAAAAAAACTGGAACTGCAAGATTTCATGCAACCATTATCACGGTTGCATGAGAAATTGCATTTGACATTCCTGTCCTCTTTTGATAAGATATATCTCAAATGCTTTTAATCTCTCTTACTTTTCTTCAAAAGAGCCATGTGTCCTGCTGGATGAGAAGTGTGATCTGTGGCAAAATAAAAATTTAAAAATAACAACAAAAAAAAAAAAGAGAGAGAGAAATCATTAAAATCAGCAACGAATAATGGTTAGTTATTTCAGGGACAAGGTTTTGCATCATCAAATTTTACTGCTGACCTAGTAAAACTGAACTACATCTCTGTAAATAACTTTCTTGGAACAAATAACTAGGCTAGAACTATTACATATTGTAATTTAAGCTACTAGTAGATTGGAAAGAACAGCATTTTAATAAATTCCATCCAATCACCTACATCAGTAATAACTATGATATTTTTAATGCATTTTAAAGTAATGTGCAAAGAAGTATTAAAACACCCACTTATGCAATTTGTAAATACATTTACATTTATCTCTCACTTCACCTATAACATAACAACAATCACAAATACTAATATCTTGCTGGAGTATGTTCCCAAATATAAGGGAACGTAGCAGCTTACACTGGAGCAGTGTCTTTCAGACTCTCAGGAAATTTCAGAGCAGCAGTGAAGATACTTCCTAGCAGCAGTACCCTTCACTAGCACTAAGGGGGGAGTTTGTGCAACGTGGCTTGTATTTGAGCCCGTTATTTGTGATGCTGAAGAAAATGAGGGAGCCTTCGCTAAAACTGTACTTCTAAACCAGCCCAAGAGTGGTGGAAAGCACAGAACATAACGCCTAAAATACAGGATTATGGGAAATAAAACATTCACTTGAATTCTGGACCCAGAAACTACTGTTTATGAAAAAATAAAAAATCCCACAACAAAAGGAAACAATAGTAAGAAACAGCGCCAAAATTGCAGGGTGGGGTGGAGGGGAGGGAGGGGAAAATACAACTGTGTGATCTAACCTTTATGCTATGGTAGTTGTACATAGGACAGAAAACAATTTTCCCTGTTTCCATAGATACAGATATGGACACATTACAGCATAGATAAGGATGCATGGTGGTTTCTGGGCACACATAAAAATGAAGTTTATGCCAGCTCCTTGAGAAGACAGATGGAACAGCAAGAATTCTTGAAGCCTGAGTCACAAAAACGACCGCCTCTCTTTGGTTAACGCTCAGGTTCCGGCGGCATCCTAAATGAGTCTCTGCTTCGACTAACAAGTTAAATTACAATAAAAATATTAAAAAAGCTAGGATGTGGCTTTGTTTACACATCACTTATACTGGTATCTATTTAGGTCCCAAGAGATGATTAAATTGTGGTGAGAGAGGAGTATTTCTGAAAATCCTTTTGCAACCGCAGTCCTTATCTACACTCCAGCAACCCCCTCTCTTCATGTGGCATTCATTTACGGAGAGAGGAAATCAAGCTTATCAGTCAAAAAAAAATAAACAAACCCAACAAACCACTGCTGCTGCTGCTGAGAAAGCCCTTCTCTCACACATCACGCGCAAGCATTGCCTTCTCATCCATTAAGCTTATCCATCAAAAAAAAAATAAAAAAACCCAACAAACCGCTGCTGCTGCTGAGAAAGCCCTTCTCTCACACATCACGCACAAGCATTGCCTTCTCATCCATTTAAAAAAGTTACTCATTTAGGCAATCAGAGAGACAACAGAACCTCCTACACGCCTGGAGCAACTTTTTAACCCCACTTTAGCTAATCACAACCTTCCACCGATTTCCGTTGAGCTGACTACTCTGTTGTAATTAACGTTTGCGATGATAACAATACTGACGATCACTGCCAGATGGAAGCTGGATAGCCACAGCTTCATTGGCATCTTCATAAATTATTAAATCAATCTAAACTGAACCACGTTTTAAATTCTTAAATCCAAACTAGACAGACTCTCATACAAATTTGAGTTCCCAAACCAGAGCATTCCTAAGCCTCAAAAACTCAGATTCATTACCCACTAATTTTTAAGGAAAGAGAGGAATATTTGTTCCCCTGCAATATTTACTCAATTTTTCCTGACTGTAGACATTAGTTCCTGGAACCTGGCAGTCCCTGAGTCTGTTGCCAAATCCTGTAACAAAACGAGGGGCTGCAGAAGGGAAAGCTCAGAAACAGTGACATTACTGCTGAGATATTTCCTGCTTAATTAGTCTTTTTACCTCTTCAAAGCAGCACAGTGTTCGGGACTCCTCTCTCCTGAAGAGCTGTAGAGCTATTCAGTCGGATCCTAGACAGCCCACAGCTGTAAGCACTCTTGCCAAAGCTTCCTTGACCATCATCCTCCTTTGAAGTCCCCCACGGAAGGGCCTTACAGGGCACAGTAACAGTTTTAAGATTCAATTCCTTCTCCAAACGCTTCAAAGTTTACTTTGGAGTTGCACTGGTTTTCTTTTCTTTCTCTGCTGCTGAGGAATAGCACAGCGTCCAGACGCTGCACGGGAGGAATGAGAGCCCATAAACCACTTCCAGATGTGCAGAACGATGGTGCAGCCCCAGATCTGGCAAACCTCTGCCTCAGAGCTTCGGCTAGCAGATTGCAAACAGATCCCAGAAGACAATCTTAAGGGGGTGGGGGGAAAAAGAAGGGAACAAACCCTTTCATAAGTTACTTCAACTGTCTAGCTGCAGGTTCGGTTTCTAGTCGTTATTTACAGTAAATGTGAACAGGCAACTAGCATGCAAGAGCCAAACAGCAACATGCCAAAGTTAAACGGAAAGCCAAGGTCTTCCCAGTGTCTGTTTGCAGAGCTCTTGCAAGCCAAAAGCTTAGGGAAATCTGCAAAATTCAATTCTGAACGTGCATTTTGACTCATCTCTTTCCCAAACCTTCGAGCAGTTAAGAGAATCTGAATCCACGGGCTTGGTTTGGCTTCAAAGGGACCTTAGACCAAGGTAACTAGGGCAGTTGATACTCTGCCTCCCGAGCTCTCCTGGAATGCTTTTGCAGTTGTGTATCACTTCTTTTATTCAAATTCTCTCCCTCCCTCCTACGAGCCTCTCCCCTGTATGATAAAGGGCTGTTTCGTCACAAGATTTCCAGGAGTACAGAAAGCAATAATGATATTCAATCCCAAACTACTTTTCCTAATTTTATCACGAGGCAGTGCAAAACTGAGGAGGTGTGTTCAGCCCAGGATGTAAAAATGGTGTTTTAACTGAGGAGCGCTGTTCCGTTTGCAGGAACCGAAAACGCGGCGTTCCCAGCGCAGGTCTCAGACCCGCCCCGCCGCTGCTGACCCCACGACCGAAACCCGGGTTTGAATCGCAGCCTGGGGCCGCCCCCACATCCCCGCCCTGGCCGGTGACACGACGCGGGGCCCTGGCCGAGGGGCAGCAGGCCAGCACCCCTCAGGCGACCACCGCCTCGCGCG